CCACAACTCGACGAGAGAGACTCGCCAAGCCCAGTGCTGGCCACTCAGCGAGTTAAGTAACTCATCGGGGACCAACACCTGGGTAACCCGGGTTCCCGCCTAGCACAAAGGCCTGAGCTCCCCTCGAAAGGCCCTGAGCTTTCCTTTCCCAGGGAGGGAATGACCTGACACTTCGGCTAAGTACCCCAGGGGAGGGACAACCGGAGCAGCGCTGCCTCCAATCCGGGCATCCCGGCACTTCGGTGTCAGGACAATCCTGTCCCAAGCAGCTCGGCAATCGGCAGCTCGGTAAGCTGCGAGGAGGAGGACCGGCCTAACACCCGTGTTTGACAGACCCGATGGCAGGGCTCTGATCCCTTGCCAGGCGGCGTTCCTCCCTGCCAGGCGACGTTCTCTTTGCCGTCTCTGAAAGGCTTGGCACAACTGACAGTTCTGTACCCGACAATGGCAGCTTGCAACGGTTACTTGCGCCTGCCATTCCTGCCCCAGCAATAGCGTCTAGAGCAGTGGCGGTTGTGTCAGGTACGGCCAGATCCCAGCATAAAAGGGTTCTTTCTCTTACGAAGAAGGGGTATCAAGGTTTGAGCACTATCAGTTGATTGATTATAAGTTTTTTCAATATCATTTTCTTTTGTATTAAAATTTTCAATAGCTAATCTTATTCATAAATATTTTAATAAAAGGTGGGGTAAAAAATATTAAAACAATCTACTATAAATTAAAGGGACTAAAAGGGCTAGGAACAAATGGTTGAAATAGAAATAAGGGAAAATTTCCGATTAATACCCTGTATTTTGGGCTTGGTGTCACTTTGGTCCCCAAACTTTAAAACATGACAATTCAGTAGCCAAACTTTCAAAATGTGCAAATCCAATACTTGCCTTTTAATCAGTTGTTAAGTGGAATTTGAAAAGACACAAATACCCTTCAAGTGTCATCTAATTTCTTTATCAATCATCCAAATGTTGACAAAAAATGAACAGTCCCAAATCCTTGCCTCTTCTATTCAAGAAAATTGGGGTCACCAGAATGCCCACTGAGATGTGACCTCAACTTTTTTGAATAGAAGAGAAAATGATTTGGGACTGTTCATTTTTTGTCAATGTTTGAATGGTTAATAAAGAAAAGTAGATGGCACTCGAAGGACATTTGTGCCTTTTCAAATGCCACTTAATGACTGGATAATGGCACACGTTTTGAAAATTTGGATGCTAAATTATCGCGTTTTAATGTTTGGGAATCAAAGTGGCACTAGACCCAAAACTAATTGAGAATTTTTCCTAGAAATAAATGCTCTAAACACCCCCTGATTTATATAGCTGACCTCGTCTGGTTGGGATAAAACTTAGATGATAATAATGAATACTAGCCAATGATTCTTACCTCCCGAACGGTTCCAATTGGCAAGCTATAATATGCTACCACATGGCAAAAATATTACATAACATACATGCAAACCACATGGTATAACATATGGTTTGAGTTGGGCCTATATAATTATCAAAAAATGGTTATGATTTTATAACCCAAACTCAAGTGTTTTTTGGGGTTGGAAGATCTGAATCTGTCATAGATCAAACCACAAGGTATAACATATGTTTTTCTCTTTTTTCTAGGAGTCTTACTGCTAAATTTGACAAAGTAGAGGTTCCATTGATACTCACACATTTTCAAGATCAGGAAGAGTGAGAAGATATGGGGCGATTTGTCCATCAAGGTTTGTGTTCTCCATTTTTCTGCGGAAGCAAATTTGATGAATATGATCAAATTTTGACACATTGATGTGTACATATGAGAGAGAGAGAGTTTACATTTTGGACAAATTTCGTAATACGGTGGTAAACAATTTGGCGATCTCCGATGGATCAAATCTATTGCAGCTCAAGTCCCTATAAGATGCACACATAATATTGGATCAGCAAATATCAACATATTAATGGTCAAATATGTGTTGGAAATAACATTTGCGTTTTTTCATTAGTATAACAAGAATATGCTTGTTTCCAAAACTGGTGCCAATTAAATTAAAATGACTTTGAGAAAATGATATGATGATTCTAGGTTTCAATTTTTGGAAATTTACCAAAACGGATGATTTTGATCTATCTATACTATATTATAAAGCGATTAGGTTTTACATCAGCACCCCTCTCCTTCTACCATTTCTCTGCTACGCCATGGATCAACCACCGGTCCCACAAGATATGTTTAAGTCGATTTATGAAAATTCAAGGTATATTTAAGTCTTTTACCCAAAATTAAATTATCAAAGCTAGACACTCACACAACTTCAAGATTCTTCAGGATTCCCATTGAGGAAGGGATGGCTCCAGTGAGTTGGTTACCATTCAAAATCCTGTCAAAAAAAAAAAAAAATTAGTATATAGGACAAAAATATTTGAAACCACTTTTGTTATATCATTTCCTTTCGTGAAAGTTCTAATGCAAATTCCATCCGGTACCATCTAGGAAGTTAGCAAACTAGGCAAGCTAGTATATTGTCTATTTACTAGTATCCTTTAACATGATAAATTTTAGTAATGAATAAATCTTCATATTTTTTAATGCATTTAAAATAAGAAAGTATTGCAAAATATAAAAGGATTAACATTTATTACAAATCATTATAGATGAATAAAACCAACTTGAATATAGTTTTTAGCATGGTTTTCAAAATCAGACTGGATCAGACGGTTGAATCAGAAAAACCGGGAACCTTTTCTCAAAAACCGTTGATTTGGTCAGAAAACCGCTGACCCAGGTGGTTGAACCTTTCAACGGTTTGACTGTTTTTTATTTTTTTATTTTTTGTCAGAACATGTCATCCATTTGGTTCGAACGGTCAGACCGTTCGACCCAGAAACCATACTCCTGACCTGTTCTTTCTCCGGTTCGAATTTAAAAACCTTAAAGATTTAAGTTGTGTATTTCAAAGGCACATTAGGAATTTGTGCTTCGTTTCTACCCAAAGTCTGAAATGTTAGTTCGATATATAGACTTAATTATAAGAATGTAGATAGGAAAACTAAATATATATTTGAGGAATGAATCACAATTTTAATGATCCTATTTTTAAACAACTTACAAATGTATAAGTCGCATATCTGAACTGAAAAGTTGATCTGGAATGGTGCCTGAGAGATTATTATTGGCAAGATGACTGTAGATCACCAACATATCTTATATTATTTAGATTTGAAGTGATTCCATGTGAAAAACAGAACAATAAATTCAAATTCAGATAAGCTGGACATACAAGTGTTGGCAAGCAGTTAACTTATCCAGTCCAGTAGTTTTATCTCCATCAGATATAGGAATGGTTCCACTGAGTTTGTTGTCAGCTAGATCAAGCAGAATAAGATGGGCTAAGTTACCGATAGAATGCGGTATTTCTCCACTGAAGTTGTTAAAATTTATAGATCTACAAAGAATGACAATAAAGTAGTTAGAAACTGCTAACTTTATAATGATTCGATCCCTTTACAATGAACTCTCAAATATAACATTATCCTTGATGAAAATCATATTATGGTTACATTTTTTTTCAATATAAAACGGATGAAAATTTTTCAAAATGTGACAATTCAGTACCTGTCATTAATCAGTCCGTTAATCAGCCGTTAAGTGACATTTGAAAATTTAAAAATATCCTTCGAGTGTCATCTAATTCTGTTTATCAACCATCCAAACGTTGATAAAAAACTGAACAGTCCCAAATCCTACCCTCTTCTATTCAAAAAAGTTGGTAACTGTTTAGAAGAATCTAGAATTTGGGACTATTCATTTTATTTTCAATGTTTGGACGGTTGATAAAGAGAATTAGATGGCATTCTTAGGGCATTTTTTACTTTTCAAATGTCACATAACGACAGATTAATGGACTGTTTAACAATAGGTACTGGATTGTCACATTTTGAAAGTTCGGGTATGGATTGTCGCATTTTAAAGTTCAGGGACCAAATTATCACTCAAGCCAAAGTACAGAGTACTGATCAGGAATTTTCCCTTTACGATATGATCAATACTTTGTTTTTTTTTTCTTTTTTCTTTTTCGTGTTAATATTAAACAAAGTAAGGTGTTAATTGTTTTCTGTGATGATGTTGGAAACTACTTTTGTTTTTGTTGGAATATATGAATCTATGGCTAGATTTAATATAATAAATCCATCTTTTTATGCTTTTCTTTATGTAGATCAATTTGCTACTATTAAATGCAGAATAAACATTAGACATTTTCTATATGGAACGTTAAACTTGTATTATGTGTACATTTATCATACACTTGTTTGGTTTATTATTTTATAAAATTATGTAGATTTTTCATGTTTCTTAGAATGGGTGTTCCACTTGTTCTCAGGAGTACATTTCAACATTAACAATACCAAGCACTATAGCTAAGTGATACACCTAAGGCTGCGTTTGGAAACAATGCAAATGGAGTGTAAACCCCGGTTCAGGGTAAATTTGCACTATGGTTCACTTTTGCCTGTATTTGGCAACATTACATTTATGCATTGACAAACGATAGATCAATGCATATTTACATTGATAATAAGATGTAAAAGTACATCAATAAAAAAGAAGTAAATTTGCATTCAAGTGGGCTTTTGATAAGAAAAAGCATATGCTTTATTGAAATTCATGTTTGCATCCATTACAACTAAAAGTCTGGTAAGAAGGTAAATTTGTCAGTGCAAAACTAACCCAACTTTGTAATTTATATGAACCGTTTTACACTCTACATATTTGCATTCACACTTATTTGCATCGTTTCTAAATTCAGCCTAAGGAAAATATTGCCTATGAAAATAACAAATTTTATCAAAATATCAAAGACAAAGTTGCACAAGTGGGGGCAATATTTGATGCCACAAGAAGATGAGAATGCCTTCAATTTTCTGTCATCTTTGGTAATGTTGTAGATGTGCGATGGAGGATATAAACCACCACCCAACTGAAAGTTTGTTAACTTATTGGGCATTATCTTTAAGAATATGTTAACAAGGTCAAGTTAGGTGGCCATGGGCCCATGGCTAAGCCCTCTCTAAATGTTTCATTTTCAGCTTTAATGGCACTCCAATCTCCAAATAGTGATTCACTCAACCACAACAAGATTGGGAGTATTGGTAAACGATAGTTGAGTTTCCAAATATATATATCTCTAGTGGCAAGTGAATAATTCTATTGGGATCTAGCTTATTATTAAATGGAAGTGATGAGTGTATCAGTTGACTTAGGTGGACCTATGTCCTATCATAACACCAGCCTATCCAACAATGATCTGTTTGGGTAAAGAATAGTTATAGAAAAGAAATCCAATCCAAACAAGGAAGCTTACATAGGAGCAGAGTAAAACAACATATATGCCTAATGGTGTCTCGGCTATCACTATACAACAGACATGTTAGGGATGTCTTGAAAGTCCAGTTCTCACCATCAAATACAACAAGAACATCCATAAAGCCTTAAAGCCTAGATAATGAATATTACAATTCAAGGTGAATGATGTTGTGTGATCCAACATGATCCAAACACGCAGTAGATAATAGTCCTGCCAATTGGATAGAGCCGAGGTGGAAGGACAGAGTCATGTACTGAGGATTTGCAAGCAAAGAGAAAGTCAGAGGCCTAAGGATGAGGTCCCCGGGAAGGTACTCTGACGCTCAAGTCAGTAATAAGGAGAAGTCGGTCGGGTTAAGCTGTAGAAAGTGAGCTAGTCCGAGCCAAGGAGAACAATAGGAGAGCAAGAGGGCTAGAGAGTCTAGAGAGTTGAAAATCCTTTATTGTGAGAGGAGAAGTGGAGATGCCTCTAATATAGGTGAGTGTGCATGTTGTAGTCGGATGGACTCTTTGCGGGGTTAACGAGATGAAGCTTCTTGTCAAGGTTTTCGATAGGCTCCACTTTCCCTTACGAGGGTGCTTATCCTCAGGAGGCAATGCTTATCTTTGTCTATGCGGGACTCCACTTCTCTCTGAGGTCTTTGGTGACATAGTTATCCAGAGGGAGGATTCTAACCACACATGTAGTGTTCTAGAGAGTTCGGCTATCCAAGAGATTGACCTCTTCCTTGTCATGCAGGCTGTTTGTGCCGTCATGACCTGGTCAATTGCATGCATGGTCTCCGCAAGATGACTCAGGTGAAGGAGATAGAGAATGCATAGTTGAAGGCCAAGCTTGTCAAGGTGAAGAAGGCTATAGCAGATAAGGACAACGGATTTAAGAAGATGAAGAGTCGCTTGCAAGACGTGAAGGAGGCCAAGGACAAGGCGAAGAAGGCAGCGGAGGATTCCGAGGCGAGGCTAAACTGGGCGAGGGAGGAGGTGGTCATGGAGTATAAGGCACTCGTAGAGTTCCAGACCGAGCTCGACAACTATGCCACCAACTCTTGGCTGGCCGAGTTTGCCTGTTACAAGAGGATGGTCATGCACCTGTTTCCCGAAGTTGCATCCGCGGTTGAGAAGTTAGGCCCTTGGATCCATGAGGAGACATCCAAGGAGTAATCTGCCCAATCGACCAAGGCCAACGTGCATCCAAAGTACCAGAACCGTATTGATGGCCCCCCTATTGAGGAGTGATTTCTACTTTTTTCCTTTCTATTCAAAATGTTGCTCTTTCATACTTGTAAAATTTTGTGAAATGAAGCTAACCAAGCTATCATTTGTTTGGTTAGCAAATGTTGCTCTTTCTACTTTTTTCCTTTTTTCCTTTCTATTGAGGAGTGATTTCCAACCTTTACTAGTCTATCCATTTGCTTTGTGACACAGCTAACCAAGCTATCACCTCGAGGATGCCCTAAATCCATTGGGTGATTGAAGCCTTCAACTAGGCTAAGGTCCTATGTTTGCCTTAGACTCCAATTGGTTATGATCCAGCTTCAGTATCTTGCTTTCCAAAGCCTTCATTTCAACTGCTTCGATTGATTAGGAATTGGCCTCGTTCTTCGGATGGTTGAAGCTTTCATTTTGTGAATTAGTTTTGGTCTTTAGGTGGTTGAAGCTTGGGGTGCTCAGTGGCCGAGGTACTTCCGAGTTCTCAAGTGTTTCCATGGGGAGATCGGTGTTACCATGTCATAAGAAGCTTAGAGCTCTCTAATGGACCAAATGTGGTCCTCAGCCAACACTACTTTGACACCCAGTTGGAGAGAAGGGTCCAAGAGTCTTCAGCCTGCCGAAGCTATGCCGATTCTAGGGTATAGTGTTCGGTTGTCACCCTCTAGCCATGAGTGGTAGGGGTGTCCTTCCCACGATGTCCATCCTAAGACAGATTAGGTGTTGGGCCTCAACTATTAGTGTTCATCCAAGTTTGTGTATGTCTATGCAGTGTGGTGCAGTAGACTTTAGCTTTGTGAAAAAGAGATGCTTTATTGCTTTGACTTTTGAAGTTACAGTAGGTTCGACCATCATTAGGCTCGATGCCGCTTATTGATAATACATCCTTAAGTTGTTGTCGCTCCAGTTCGGTCCGAGATTCCCTACTCCAAACTCTAGTACGATGACTTTACGTAAGATAAAGTCCCCCATCTTAAATTGTCTTCGGTAGACCTTGGCGTCATAGTACTTGGTCACTTGTTGGTATGTTACCATCCTGATCTATGCCTGGTCTTTAGATTCTTCTAAGAGGTCTAGCTCAACGAGGAGGTCCTCATTATTGGTTTCCTCGTTGTAGAGTTTGGTTCGGAGTGTAGGGGATCCAATCTCTACAGGGATCACTACTTCTAATCCAAACACTAGGTTGAACGGTATCTCTCTGATTGATATTCATAGAGTAGATCACTAGGCCCAGAGGATGCTTAATAGATGTTCTACCCATCTACCCCTGGCTTTGTTCAACCTTGTCTTTAGTCAATTCAACAAGGTGTGATTCATGACTTCGGTCTGGTCGTTGCTCCGAGGTCGATGCATTGTGGTTATACGATGATCTATTTTAAGCTTGATGCAGTACTCTTCAAACTTTCAATCAGCACCTGTGGAATATTAAAGCAATAGATGATGTTTGTCCATAGGAAGCCTTGGGCATTCTGAGCTATGATTCATGCTAGGGGTACAGCCTTGACCCATTTTGTTAAGTAGTCCATGGCGATGAGGAGGAACTTCCTTTGACATGCCACAGGAAGGAAGTTACCGAGGATGTCCATGCCCCACTGAGTGAAAGGCCAAGGACTACAAATTAGTGTTAGGGGGAGTGCTGGCTAATAAATCAAATTAGAATGTCTTTGGCAACTGTCGCATTTCTGTATAAGCTATGTTGCATCCTATTTTATGGTGAGCTACAAATAACCCTATCGAAGAGCCTTGTAGGCAAGGGTTCAGGCACCAGAATGATCACTGCAAATCCCTTCATGTATTTCCTTGTGTACATAATCAGCATCATCCGGGAGAAGGTGATGAATCCATTTTTGGTTATGTATCAATTTTTTGTCAAGTACCTCGTCATTTGGTCTGCTTCCAAGTGGTTGATGACTCAAAGGCCAAAGTGAACTTTTGCTGGATGAGGACCTGGATGCCGAGCTGACTAGGCCAAGCTGGGGGCAGATTAGGTGCCGAATTAACTGAGTCGAGCTGGGCAGGTTAGGTGCTGAACTGACTGGGCCGAGCTAGGCAGGTTAGGTGACGAGCTGACCAGAGTGCCGAGCTGCCTGGTGGCAAACTGGATTGATTGTTGAGCTTCGTAGTTCTTTAAAGACCTGCAAGGAATCAATGTCAGAGGACCCGGGGTGGTTAACCCGGCGAAGTCGCTCCGATGCTTAAGTCAGTACTCTCATAGTCGATAGTGAGCTAAAAATCACAAAGTATGAGAGCTAGAATATGCTTACTTGCCCCCCTCGTGTCATTGGGGTTGGTGCCTTTATATAGGCCTTGTTTGGCATGGGCTTCACGCACCATATCCTAGATTTCTGAGAAGTCGTCTAAGTGGTCTGAGATTCCCTGAGGCAACCGCCATGCACATTGACCACCCTCCGGATCGTTCGGCACGTGGGCCATCTTCCAAGGATCGTGGGAGTGTTAGGATATGCCTGTCGAATTTTTTGCCGAGCATGTCTCGCAGGTCGCTAAGTCAGCGCCTGTGCCAGGCTGCTAGGCAGCCAGCTCACGCCTGTGCCAGGTTGCCAGTTCGTGCCAGGGCCAGGCCGCCAGGTCGCGCCTGTGCCAGGCTGCCAACTTGCGCCTGTGCCAGGCTACTAGTTCGCGCCAGGGCCAGGCCGCCAGGTGGGACACCATCAACTTGGCTAAGGCAAGTTGTTGCCAAAGTGGTTCCGGGTGTCACCTAGTTGTTCCGAGATGCCATGTGTCACAATATCATTGGAGGGCCAAATCCGCCCTCATCATTTGCCCCCCACTCCCGAGCCGAAAGTAACTCGACGAAGGGAGTAGATTGTTCCTTTTGGCCTGAAATGACTAATTCGATGAGATCGTAAGCGTCGATTCAAATCCTTAAGCCCTGGGAGCGACTCGCAGTCCACTCTCCTTACCCCTGATTTTGCCCATAACTAAGAGGTGACTAGGTCTTATGTGCCCATGCTGAGGAGGCGACTGGGACTTATGTGGTGCCGAGGTCTTTTATCAGCTCGCTAGTTCGTGCCTGGGCTAGGCCGCTAGGTCACGCCTTAGAGCTACGACTACGTTGCATCAACCTCGTTAGTGACATCGGTTATCCACTCCTACAAGAAGCTACTAGGAGCTCGACCTACGAGGGCAGCACTACTGACTTTAGGTCACCAACTCGCACGGGAGCCTTGGAAGGCTCGACCGGCAAGGGCGTCCATGTAGTCGGTTATCCACTCCTACAAGAAGCTACTAGGAGCTCGACCTACGAGGGCAGCACTACTGACTTTAGGTCACCAACTCGCACGGGAGCCTCGGAAGGCTCGACCGGCAGGGGCGTCCATGCAGTCTGTTGTCTGCCTACTCCCGCGGAAGCCACGAAGAGCTCATCTTTGTAGAGGATACTTCGCGAAGAGGACTGATGAGGCTTTATCCGAGTTCAAATAAAGTTGGTAGAGCTGCTTAGTCTGCTGGCCATCAACTTCCTGCATAGTCTTTGAGTTCAGAAAAACTGAAAACAAGAAAGATGCCTACGTTCGATCTTCATTTTAGGATATGCCTCATTGAACATGATGTCAACCATACTTCTTGTGTCAACAAGGACTTGACATAATTTATAGTTGGTGATGTTGACTAAAATTATCAATGCATTGTCATGAGGCATTTGGACCCCTTTAAAGTCATCTACAGCGAATGTGATCCGGTGTCCATCTTTGACTTCTTTGGAGCTCGGGTTTTCACTTTGATTCAACCAATCATAGGCCTAGTAAAGGAGCTCTCCATTTCCACCGTAATTCCTTCAGAGATGACTACTTTGACTCCGGTGAGAGGAGGGTCTGAGTTATCAAGTACATGTGATCAGGTGTCCATCTTTAACATCTTTGTAGCTTGGTTTTTCACCTAATTCAGCCAACAATAGGCCTGGCAAAGGAGCTCTCCACTTCCACCGTCATTCCTCCGGAGATGACTACTATGACTTCGGTGAGAGGAGGGTCTCAGTTTTCAAGCGCACCAACGTGGCATCGATTGCTCTTTCATGGAGCTTAGCGGTTAGCAACATATCTGTTGAAGTAGCTTCATCTGACAAGGTCCTCAATGTGGTTGCGGAGGTTTCAAAGTACTTGTCCCTTATTCTCTTGTTGCCTTGGGACTTCGACTTTTTGGGCCACCTAACGAAGCACCGGTTGTGGATCGATCTACATGAGGATCTCAACCCGTGGCATGTTGAACGGCATTAAGTTCCTAAAGTTTGGTGGAGTACTCCTCGATCTGCAGTCCCAATGCCAATCCAACCTCTTCTTGTCCCAGCGAGAGTGGTGATCATTACGCTCTTTGTGCTTCAAATCACACCTTCCTTCCTCGACCTCCCTATGGCGTGGGACTGTGAGAAATGATATATTTTAAAGCTCAGGCAAGGAGATTAATCATGTCTTGTGGAGCTCTATTCTCTAGAGGAAAGCTAAAGCGGGAGGTCTGAAGGCTGTGCATCAAGGCGGCCACTGCTATGGATTGGTCAAGGCGTTGGTCCTGGACAGACTCAAACATTAAACCTCACCAACAATTCCTTAAGGGACCCATCGTCCTAATGTCTCAACTACATAAGAATGGCAATTGTCTCCCAATGCCATCGGCTACTGACAATGTCTCTGGTGGGAGTAAATTAAAGTTAATAAGGGGATTTCTAAAGTATTTTACTGAAAATTAATTAAAAGCCTGAAGAAACTTCAGTAAAGAATCCCATCCTCATCGTATCCTAGAAAATATGAGTTATGTGGTTATTATATCAGATATCTCATTTTCCACATCTCCATCAATAAATCAGATTTTAGTTAATCAAGTGAAACAAATGAATCTAAAGAAATACAAAGTCTTACAATTGGATTAGCTGCTGCAGAGATCCTATGCTGTCTGGGATCCGGCCAGAGAAGTTGCACCCGGTTAGGATCCTGACAATATTTATATGAAGAAATTCAAGCCCATTCGTTCATTTACACATGCATGATTATTCTAATTTGAAAATCACAAGAATTTCTTACAGTTGTGAAAGATTCTTCAAGTTACCAATAGCATCCGGAAGGAGCCCATTCAAACCCGGGTTGTTAGACAGATCCCTGCATGAGTCAATTACTCAATTATATATTTACGCCAATTTCTTTCAAAGGAGAAAGGGTTCCACTATGATATCGGAAAAACAACTGAACAATAAATTCATATTCATGGGTGGATTTTGATTGATTGGTCAAAACTCTTTCCGGTATCATAGATTTTCCCTTTTATGAAACCAAGGGAGGTGTGAAAATTGATTACTACTTACAAAATTTGTAACTCCGAGAGGGACCCGATGTTATTGGACAGTTGACCCATCAATCCGGTGTTTCCCAATTTTCTAGCATTCAAATTGGTTTTATAGACAAATAGTGAGAGGAGTTAATTGATAAAGTCAGAATGAATTGATATTCTTTGAACGGTAATAGTAAGAAATGATTTAACCACTAATAATTTATTAGTAGATATGTTTTAAATAGAATGAATTGACAAATAGGATTCATGTAACTAACCCCATATAGTTAGGATAAGGTATTAATGATGATGATGATGATGGTGATGAACTTACATGTAGATCACATGTGACCTAGTTTCAATATCACAGTAAATTCCGGTCCAACCGTCATCGCAAGGATCAGGTTTTTCCCAATCAGGTGGCTTATTTTTCCAGATATCCTTCAACGAGTTTAGAGCAGCAGCTGCATCAGGAACAGAAAAAAAAAAAAAAAAAAGTAGCATCAAGCCATGCCACACCACTATTTTGTGGTGCTCTCCTACTTGGAAAACAACTTTTAGCAGAGAAACCTTCCAGTTCACTTGAAGTAAGATGACAAAGGAAATTAAGAACAGAATCAGTATCAGAAGCAAAGGAAAGAACAGAATCAGTAAGCGTCAGAAGCATCATGGTTGAAGTAAGTTGA